CAAACCTGAGCGATTAATAGTCCTACTTTAGTAGCAGAAAGACAAAGCAGAAAGTTTTTGCTTTGTTTCTCTGAACAGGTACACTGAGAATTAATTTATTTTGCATATATTGAGAGAAAGGAAAACGTATTGTTACTACTGCTGTGTCCTAGCTTAAGAAACACAGATTTTAATAGTGCCTGAGTATTTTTATTTATTTTATTTATTTTAATAGTACTGAGGTGAAATGGGGGCTTAGGATGCACTAAGGCTGACAGAGAAGATGGCTGTATTTCTCCCTGAGATCTGACAGTAGCTTCTCAACCAGACTTACTGAAGGCAGAAGGTCCACTCACCTCCTGTTTCATCAGTGGTTTTGACCACAAAATTCTTGGCTTTTAAAGGTAAGAGCCAGAAATGAAGCCAACTGCTATAAACTTCACCTTCCAGACCTTCACCTCTGCATCTGCTCTCCAACACAGACTCTTAGATGAAACTCTGGCATCGCTGTCCTCTTTGAAGAGGAAGTAACTATTCCCTCCTTCCATCTGCATGTCTTATCCACAGCTCAGGATCATCCCCTGTACCTCAGTGCTGGTGTCAAGGACCAGCCACACCTATGTCTTTGTAAGGCAACCTCAGTATCTGCTGGAGCAGGACTCAGGGATGAGGCTGGGAAGCAGATCCCAAGGATATCTAACCACTGAGGCCACAGGCCCTTTCTCCTCACTCACAGGACAGACCTCCTCTGAGTGAGGAGAGAATTCACTTTACAAGGACAATTCTTCCCATTCAAGTGCACAGTTCTCACACTAACTTATCTTCTTCCCTTCTCTCTCATTTCCATCTAGAAAGTTACATGGAAAAGATGTCTTTCTGTTCAAAAGGAGGCTTATGACACTGCTTCTGTCCACTGACATAACTTTTAATATGATCACTTTTCCTATTTACTCTCTGTTGCCTTCTTGCAACAATATGTAGCCTGAACATCTTGCCTTTAGAAGAAAGGACAGCTGAAGTAAATACAGAAACAGAAATGGATGAACAGCTAATTCAGGGAGTGGCAGCTGGTGAAGAATGGAGGAAAAATTGGTTTTCACAAGTATAGTGCTGAGCAAAGTTGTAGGTATGTATAAGGTTGATTTGATGAGTGATGTTATTTGTAGCTCAGTAGGTGATGGAAAAAAGCCCTTTTAAAAAAAATCTAGGCTCAGTGGAACTTGGCTATTCAAAAGCAATATTGTCTAATTTTTAGAACGGAAAACAGAATTACTGGGTCATTGACAGTAAAGGCCAGGACTCTGCCTTGCCTTCCTCTGCCCCGTGTTGAAAAAAACACATGTGAGGTGGGACTCCTGAATCTTCTGGTTATCTTGACCCTAATCTACAAGGAATAGCAGTGTTTAGTCAAAGATGTCAGAAGATACTCCAACCTTTCTGGCAGAAGGATATTTATACAGGAGTTGACCTTGGCACAAGTGATGTAGGAACCTGGATTTAGTCAACCCTTAACACGAATTGCTACAGGATCCGTTCCACAACAGAGGGTTACAGCTGTGACATGGAGAAAAAACCCTCCTTCAGTCAAAGCAGCACTGCATTTGCTCCTGACATGATCTGCTGCTTCTGGTAACCAGCAGTTTGTATCACAACCCCATGCTTGCAAAGCCCATTTTACAACAGCTACATGCACTGTCAACAATCTGGAGTTTTGTGTATGTACAGGACTGGGGGAAATGCATTGGAAAATGTCTTGAGCCGTATCAGATGCCTCTACAGGAAACAAAAAGGATCAGCCAGTGTTATTTATCTCCACTTAAGCTTCTATTTTCTTTTAGAACATTACTTGAGTTACGAGTTTTAGACCTCTTAACTAGTTACAATAGGGTTAATAATATCATTACTACAATACTAGTAATATGATTAATAAAATGACTAAAAGTAAAGATAATAACTTCACAGGATTCTATAAGCTATGGGATAGCTAGAACTCTGATTTCATTAAGAAATTTCATTAGTATTGAAAAAATTATTTAGTTTTAATTTTCAAAGCAAAGAAATTCTAAGCTTCTCTAGCTAGACAAAGACTATGTGACTCACAACGTAAGCAAATCACATAGACTTTTTATAATGTGTCCAAAAGGGAACAGCAATACACAACAAATATTATCCAGGAATAATTACTGTGTGCTTTAAGTAGCTATTTCTTATTTTTGTTCAGCAATTAATAGCAAAATGCTTCTGAGTTTTTTAGCGAAATTGATTTAAGTGGCTGGAAGAAGTTCTCACTTTGCAATGCTATTAATTTCTTTACCCAGTTATTTTTGAGGTACTCTCCATATCTGAAAAGCTAGATTTTGTACACTTAGGTGATAGCTCTCTCTAAAATAAATTTATCTATTCAAAAGGAATATCAGCAAAACCAAAAACAAATCAAATGGAAAAATCTTTAGGGCAATTAAACAGTTTAAAAAAAAAAGGTAATATATTAATTTAACTTTTTCTTCCTAACTTTATTTAAAAAAAACACTTCTTTTTGAGGAAATGTTAGAAAATAGTGTTTAAAATGTTTACTAAATCTTTCATTTACTTTCTTTCATATGTCGTACATATGCTTTTATGTTTGCACATTCCTCGACATTGCACTTTTGGATAAGAGTGGATAGCCCAGGGAAGTCTTGAAGATGTTTCTCACTCAAGTATCTGAAAGAATTATCAAGAACCATGAGAGTATTACTTGGTTCTTTCAAGGCATTTCCACACAACTGTTGCAAACCAGAAGTGCTAAGGAACTTAACACGTTAGAAATGTTAGAAAAACATCAAGCCTGAATGGGCACACAAACTGTACCACACCTTTGAATTTTTTGAAGTGTATAACCACTCTTAAATCTTTGCAATTAAAGGATATAATATACTTACAAATTCCTTTTGTCCCAAGTGCAACACATAACTGAAACATATTCTGAATGTTACTAGTGAAATGATAAAAAAAGATGGTCTTGTGCCTTACACAACTCAAAATTATATGCAAATAATAATTTTATCTTTAAATATGCAGCCTGCATTTTAAGTTGCCGAATCAAAGTTTTATTTTATAGCTTGCTTTCACTGAGTTTAATAGGAGTATCCTACATAGTTCAAGAATATTTTCAAAATGTGCCCTTTTTTAATGTTCTTGTCTCAGAAATATTTTATGTATGTCATCTCAGTCACCTCTTTCTTAGAACACATAAATGCTAACTTTATTATTAGCATGATCTATCAGTGGTTTCCCGCTGAAATTTCATACATTGCATAAAGTTCCAAATCCTAAAGCTACCCACTTCTTACTCCAAAATGCTGAATGCAAGGCTGTTTTGCTTAGTATATGACTGCCTTTTTATAATTCACTTGAGGAAACAGACCAAGCAAGCCAAATTCTTGACTAACAAAACCTGTGCAACTTCAGGAACTGAAACGGGTTGCATACATTTAAGCTCAGCATAAATTATGCCACTGACTCACATGCTTCCCTTGTCAAACTCAAGTCTCATAAAAGTTTTCAGCATGTCCCAAGAACGAGTCTTAATTTAGTTTTACCCGCTTCATGTCCAGTGGTTACATCCTACTGAAATGCAATCCTTCTAGATTGTACTTCTTACCTGTTTTGAACTTCTATTCTTATGTGTGTTCCTATTTTTCTGTTTAGTGGATTTCATAAATGGTAACAGAAGACATAAGGTATTTGTGGACTGGACTCTCCATCAACATAGTGAATTTTGGCTCCTCAGTATCCTCAACGCTAACTTGCTTTCATTTTATATGACATGATATATTCACTTTCAAACCACATCTATTTCAATGAAAAAAAAAAAAAAAAGGTGCTGTGTGTGAAATGTTTAGCTAGGTTTAATTTCCTTCCTGTATCTGCTGAATTTTTACTACATAATGAAAAAATATGAAACACAACTGAAGGAAAAGAGATGACCCAATCTCACCATCAGTCCATGAACCAGAGAAATTTTGTTATGTGACTATATGATCATCATCACACGCAAGAGCTTTTATCCACAACTATGAAATAACTGTGTTATCCAACCACCTTGACAAATTCCATTTATATTACATTTTCCTCAGGAATCAAAAAGAATAGTGTATAAAAAATACCCAAAATGTTAAGAGTTTAAGGACCAGCTGCTTCTGTTTAAGCCCAACTGTTTCAGTATTGATGCAGCATAGCTAGGGCATGATGTCATCTGAAGGGCCAGCAGAATATACCATGGTTGATCTTAAAAAATATGTAGGGGTCTAGCCTCTCCTCTCTGAGTATGCATAATTCCCATCAGTGCAGAAGGGGGTTGTTCACATGCAGAAAAGAAGATAAAGTAGACTAAATTACTCTAGTGGATAGAAAGGTGTGTTAAGTTCTACTAGAGAAAGAGATGACTATTTTCCTAATATTTAATTCTTCTTGCTGCAACATAGCAGCTTGTTTTAAAAACTGAAGACAAGAAAGAATAGTCTTCTAATGCTTCCTGTTTGCTTTTATATGACCCTATGGGAATGGAAATCATTCTTGTATTCCAGCCTTTCCATTCTCTCTCTCCATCCATTCATCCAACCATCCTTCCACCTCCTCCCCTCCTTCCTAATTCTATGATTTGATATGCATGCATGGAGTATTTGTATTACATATAATTTACTATACATTTAATAGAAGCTTTTCTTGTTTTAAAAGTTGCAGGGCGAAGAAAATAAATGTAATAAAAGCTGCAGCTTATAAACAGAAGTACAATATACATGCCCACAGGCACACAGAAAAGAACAACAACATTTATTATCTAGCCAGTTACTTAAGAGGATGGCACAATATATACTATTCTGAATGCCAAACAACAATGAAAATCTTAAAGTGATAAAACCCTCTCAATGTCATGGGAACACAATTGTCACTTGTCATTACTGTGCATCTCTCTATTTCTTCATATATCCTAAACTGCCTATTCCTACATAATTCAACACATTTAATAATGTAGAAAATCAATTAATATTTACTGACCTGTCTCTGCTTCTCCGTGACGGGAACGCAGCGTTACAGCCAGCCACTGTGCAGACATGCATCTCTTTTAAATGAACATTTCTGTAGTGAAGCTTCACACTGTAAGAACTCTTGAAACTTTTCTTGCACACATAGCAGATCTTGGGATCTGGGCTGGAGCACATTTCACCTTCTGGCGAGAACTTCTGAGGGCTGCTGTAGTTGAATGTAGAAGCGAAACTTTCATGAAGGGCAGCCATACTGGCACTGCCTCCATTGTACAGTCCATATTGGCTCATGTAGAACATATCGTATGTAGGGTCTGTATACTCTTCCTTCACCTTAATGACATCCTGATTGGAAGAGTCATTGTGGTTTTCATCTGGTCTGTCACTGTGCATCATAGATTTTTCACCAGGTTCGTGGAGACGATCATCACCTTCCATGGATTCTTCACACAGTTTGGGTTCTGATGACTCTGACTCATTTTCATAGTCTCTCTCGTGCTCCTGGTCTTCTGATGTCATGCTGTCTGCCCTTCTTATGTCTGGTCTGGAAATGCATCTGCTTCTGTCACTTTTCGAAAAGTCTTTTACGGACAAGCCTGGGCTCATTTCCTCCTGAGAATGGCAGTGATTGTCATGACCAATGTCATTCACCATTGTGCTGCTGTCATTCACCTCTTCGTCTTCATCATCAAACTCATCAGCAGTATCAATAACTTCCTTTTCAATTTTAACTGGCATGCTCGATTTCCTTGGCTTCTTCTTGGGGGCAAGGTCAGCATTAGGCTCTGGGGTGGGCATCAGCACTGAAGGTACTGATGACTCTGAAGGAGGAGGGGGATGCTGCTCCATGCCACTCACTGCTGGTATTATTGGACTGGTAGGGAGTGAGGTTGGAGGACTCACCATCTCTCCAGGATTAAGTAAATTTCTGTAAAAAGGAGGAACAGGTTGGACAGTCTTTAAAGCTGGGAACACCAGCTGACTGGGAAGAGGGTTCTGTAGTACGGGATCTAGAGGGGGAGTGGTAAACCCCATTGGTGGACGCCCTGGGCTTGTTAAAGTTAGGTTGGACTTTGTACTTGCTATGACTGGAGTGGCGGCACCCGATGTAGCACGAATTAGATCTTTGTCACGGTTATTCCTTAGCATAGGCATGTGAAGGCGGGGGTTGGGGTTAGCACTGTGGCGATTGCGGCTTCTGAGAGAGCTGAACACCATGTTGCAGCCCTCAATAGTGCACCGGTGTTTGATTTTCAGGTGAACGGCATTGTAGTGGATTTTAAGGGTACCTTTGTCATAGAAAGTTTTGCCACATGCATTGCAAAACACTCTTCCTTTCCTGGAGGCTGACCCCATCCTCCTCATTCTGTGAATGCGGAAAGAGCTTTTCGTGTGTTCCGTTTTCGATAAATCATTGACAGGCGTAGGCGTCTGAACAGGAGAGACGCAGGCTGGCTCAGTTTTGGGCTCCACATTTGTGATGCTGGTCAAAGCATTCCTCCTGGGTGTTTGCCCCTTCT